AGGAAAAATATGCAATATGAAAATAATTGAAGACAAAATGTGTTTTACTGAGAAAAAGCAAGATTTGGTTTTTAAAAAGCCTTTTTCCAAAAGGTACATCTGGAAAAAGGGGGGTCGTCTTATAATCAGGGTCGTCTTATATTCGGGCCAATACGGTAATTCTCTTCTCTGTTTTCCTGCAGTTGTCACTAATGTGAGCGAGCTCCTGGGTCTGGACAGTTTTCAGTTGTCTGAGGTTCTGACCCAACGTTCCATGATCCTCAGAGGAGAAGAGATCTGCTCTCCTCTCACAGTGGAACAGGTAAAATCACATATACTTTCTCATATTGATATACTTTAATAAAAATAAAAAAACTTGACTAGTTTAGCAGTTCTTCTCTTCTGTCTCTACTTGATCAAAAATGGGCATTTTATTTTGTCATGCTTGATTGACAGGCAATAGATTCCCGGGATTCGGTTGCCATGGCGCTTTATTCGCAGTGCTTCTCGTGGATCATCATGCGAATTAATCAGAAGATAAAGGGCAAAGATAATTTCAAGTCTATTGGAATCTTGGACATCTTCGGTTTTGAGAACTTTGAGGTGTGAGGCCACATGGATCACATGATCATGCACAGACACATATTTTTATTGAGATCTAACCCAAGTGTTTGTTTGTTCTGAAGGTGAACCGTTTTGAGCAGTTCAACATTAACTATGCTAATGAGAAACTTCAAGAATATTTCAACAAACACATCTTCTCTCTGGAGCAACTAGAGTACAACAGGTAAAGACTGACAACCGTGAGAGCATGACAATTTGCTCTGCAATTACATATATTCTTATATGTGTAAAGTATCTCCTAAGTGCCTAATCACACTATTGTTTTTTTTTTTTTGCCTAATTTTTGTGAATGCAATTTAAGCTTTTAAAAAGATTATTGTTAAGCTTGTACAAGTTTTGTATACTAAAACTGGTGAATTGTGTCGTACAGGGAAGGCATTCACTGGGAAGCCATTGACTGGATGGACAATGCAGAATGTCTGGATCTGATTGAGAAGGTAGAAGAATCATGGTTAGCTGTCAGGAACAATTAATTTTAATTTAAAAATGTAATTTAATTTAATTTAGTCTGACACATATTTATACATTCCTTCAAACAAAGATTAATTTGATTATTACAATAATAGAAGTTTTCAGTTTTGTATTATTTAACACTTACAGTATTTAATGTTGTGTTTGTGCAGAAATTGGGCATGTTAGCACTGATTAACGAGGAGAGCCGATTTCCCAAAGGCACTGACTTCACCCTGCTGGAGAAACTGCATGGCAGACACTCTGTGAGTTAAGCTCTCATCATACAAAGACATAATATAATTCAACCAAGCATTCAGTGTAATAACATGAACTCACTAAACACATGAGGTTGTCTTTTTCCACAGACTAATCCCTATTATGTGAAACCCAGACTGGCAGACCATCAGTTTGGGATAAAACACTATGCTGGAGAGGTATATGAAATATCCATCTGTCTGTTTGTATATCTATCTATTTATCTCTCTGTCTGTCTCTTTTCTTCATAATTTTTTGTCTTCCTTTTTATAGGTCTTGTATGATGTGAGGGGGATTTTAGAGAAGAACAGAGACACATTTAGAGATGATATACTGAACATGCTGAAGGATAGTAGGTAAGACGCAAACACACAAATGCACAAGCTCTGACACACACACACACACACTGAGGCAGTTTTGTTTGAGTTATTCTGTGTGTGTGCCTGTCTCTTTTCTTCATAATTTTTTGTCTTCCTTTTTATAGGTCTTGTATGATGTGAGGGGGATTTTAGAGAAGAACAGAGACACATTTAGAGATGATATACTGAACATGCTGAAGGATAGTAGGTAAGACGCAAACACACAAATGCACAAGCTCACACACACACACACACACACTGTGGCAGTTTTGTTTGAGTTATTCTGTGTGTGTGCAGATTGGATTTCATCTATGACCTGTTTGAGCAAGTGAGCAGCAGAAATAATGAGGAGACCTTGAAGATGGGCACGGCAAGAAAAAAGCCCACTCTCAGCTCACAGTTTAGAGTGAGATAAAACTCCCATATCAAGACTTTTATCTATATAATAGACCTTAAATTGAACATGCTAAAGTGCTGCATGTTAAAACAATCAGGAACTGCCTGCAGTCCCTTCTGATTTGTCAAACATTTGATCGGTTGTCTCTTCTGTCTCTCAGGACTCTCTTCATGCCCTAATGGCCACTCTCAGTGTATCCAACCCCTTTTTTGTGCGTTGCATAAAACCCAACATGGACAAGGTGAGAGAAGTCACATCAGCTAATGAGAATGCAATTTAAAAATAAATTCTGGGGTGTATTCAACACGTCATAAATTTTAATAATGTATTTTGCTTTTGTTTGTTTTTTTTGTTCTTTAGACCCCAAACAAGCTCGACCCGGATGTGGTTCTCAATCAATTGCGGTACTCTGGCATGTTGGAGACAGTGAAGATTCGCAGAGCTGGATTCCCTGTCCGACGCACCTTTAAAGACTTCTTCAGCAGGTAGATGTTAAAACGCATACAGGTGCATGAATTTTTGTTGTCTCAGCTTTTCTTGGAGACTATGATTTTGTGGTTGTATACATCAGGTATACGATTATCCTGAAGGAGAAGGAAAAGGCTGCTGTGGCTTCAAATGGAGATGAGAAAAAGAAGAGCACAGATTTGCTGACACTCCACGACAGGACGAAAAAGGAGTGGCAGATTGGGAAGACCAAGGTGAGTGACCTTTGGCCTCTTGCTCTATCGCCTCTTTTTACATTAGGTATAGTTTCCCAAAAATTTTCAACCCACAACATTTCTTTAATCTCCTTTTGGATTTGAACATGTGCCACCCGCCCCTTCAAAGCACACACATTACCTATATGGCCTAGTTTCCGACCTGTCCTGATGATTTTTTTATGGGCATCTTTTCATCCTATATCACATTTAGGTTTTGCTCAAGTTTCCCATAATACAGTAATTGTTTTTTTCCCTCAGAGAATAATACCAGAAATTTTTAAATATACACTACCATTAATTTTTATGTTTTCAACAGAAGTCTCTTATGCTCACCAAGACATTTATTCGATCAGAAATACAATTAAAAAAAAGTAATATTGTGAAATAATGTTACATTTGTAATGAGGACGCTGAGGCTGAGTCTGAATCCATGTGCGGGAGTTTATTGAGGACAGTTTCAGTGAACAGGAACGTCAAGGCAGGCAGAAGGTCGAAACCAGAATGACAATCCAATGTAACAACACTTACAGGGGCAATCCAGAAGGCTAAAGTGAACAGGCAGGCAAAAGGTCCAAACACACACATCCGTCCGATCAGGCAAACTAAGCAAGGGGAATAATCCAGGTAAACGTTAGGTCGGTAAACAGGCAGAATCATACACTGAACAGGCAATCAGAATCACAATAGAGAACGCTTGGTAAGGCAGGTTTAACTGGCAATACTTCGCGATGAGCATGAGCACAGTCTCTGGCTATAAAGTAACCAAACAGAAAATGAGTGTAGAGGAAGCAGAGGGAGTGGAACACAGTCAGTACTCGGGTGAGGGCTCCCTCTGCTGGCTTGGCATTACATATCTATAGCTGTGTATGTATTTTAGGGCACAAATCCCACTTACCCTTAGAGTCACTATTATGGTGATTAGTGTTTGGTTCAAGGTATATTTAACAAATGATCAACAGTTTTTTAAGCTAGTCTTATCTTACTCCAAACTTTGAAACTTTACATCATGAATATGCAATATGTATGTTTAGCTAAGCTTTAAAATGCAATTTTGTCTGATTATGCTGATTGGTTGTGATTTTTGTTTTCACATAGCTTTGTCTTTATTCTATATAAGCCCATTTCTGCCACATAAGAAAAAATGCTTTGGAAAATCACAATTATGACATAAAAAGTCACAATTATCACATTAAAAGTTGAAATTATGACATAAAATTTACATTACAACATAAAAGTAATTTTGAAAAAAGTCATAATTATGAGATTCAAAATATAACATACTAACATACTAATAACATACTAAGATAACATACTAAGTCACAATTATGATGAATATATACGTATATATATATATATATGTATGTACATATATATATATATACATATATATACTGTATGTATATATATATATATATATATATATTTGTCATAACTATGACTTTTTATCTCATAATTATGACTTTTTATCTTAAAATTTGACTTTTTGTCAAAATTTTGACTTTTTATCTCACAATTATGACTTATGCCACATTAGAGAAGATGCATTTGTAAATCATAATTATAACATTAAAGATTAAATTATGACACACTAAGACATTATGAGATAAAAAGTTGAAATTATGAGATTAAAAGTCATAATTAAAGTCATTAAGACATAATTAAGTCAAGATTTTATCATCTAATAATTATGAAGACTTTTTTTCTAATGCGTCGGAAATTGGCTACTATGCTTTTCAACAGCATTTTTGACAGACAAATTATAGAGCAACATTTTATTCTTAATGAAAACTTCAGACTCCTCCTCAAAAAAATGCATGCTTATGTGCAGTTAACCTGTCAAATAGATTTTTTTTCAAACCTTCTGACATTGAGTCTAAAAACCTGTCAGAGTTGAAGACAGGTGGTGTTGACATGTTCGTAATGTTTGTTTTTGTCTAACCAGTGTTTCTATATCATTCTTCTCTCTTGCCCTCCTTTAGTCTCCATGCTCGGCTGAGGAGGAGCACCGTCAGATGGAGGAAATTCTGCGTTTGGAGCGCGAGATTGAGCATCTGCAGAAGAAAAGAGAAGACGGTGTGTCTATGCTATGTGAGAGCTCAAGACAGGAACTCCGCTTGCGGCGTGATGCCGAGATCCTGCGTCAGAAAAAAGCGGCTTCTCGTGTCGCCACTGAATTCCTTGAACTGCTCGACACCGGAGGCCCAGAAGTCATTCCTGGTGATGCTAAACCACCTGCCTCCAGACCGGCAGCCGCCACTGAGGAAGAGGTAGATGAAGGCTTCCATGCAGACGAAGAGTGCATACCACTTCCCGAGTTCCCTCCTCCAGTGGAAGGTCCAGTGGATCAGGAAATCTTAGCCACTCTGCCACCTCCTCCTCCTGCCTTTGCCGAGGGCACGTTGGCTCCATCTGCACCCAACGTTCCACCTGGGGCTCCTCCCCCGCCTCCTCCTCCCCCTCTCCCTGGCGATGCCGAAAAGGAAGTTGGAAAGCCTGAAGAGGCTAAAACAGTTAAAGAGGTGGATGGGAAAAAGGAGGGAGAAGATGTGGATCGCACCAGCAGGCTGACTGCAGCGGAGTCTCTTCCAGACACAGAGGAACCCATCTACAGTGTGCCTGGGGATGGCGAGTCAGACTATGACCAAGACGATCTAGAGGACGGACAGAGCAGCATTGCGGCGACGGACACAGAACACGTACGCAAGTCCACCTGCACCAACGCAAGCCAGGAGTCTTACAACCGCAGCTCAGATTCAGTGAGTTACACAGAGTACACGTGCCCTAAGGGTGCAAATTCTTTCTATATAAAGCTATTTATAAATACTATAATCTAACCCCAACAGAAAGCTTTCTGTATTTTTATAATTTAAAATAAATACTTTGAATTTACTTTAATTATAACGTATTTACAAATTTTACTTTGTCCCTAGAAAAGAGATTTTGTCAGGTTTAGCTCACTTCTGGGTACATATTTGTCCCCAAAATATGGTTAAGTAGGTATGTACACTCACACACAGACCATTCACTCTATCCGTCTCTTTTTTTAAGTATGCTGACAGCGATGATGAGCATGATGGGTACGTGGACACAGATGAGGAGGTATCCAACGGTAAAGTCAACATCTTGAATGGGAACGGACCTCCATACTTCCACAGTTACCTTTACATGAAGGGTAAGAAATCAAAGATTAAATCTTTTTACACTAAATAAAGTCCCTGCTGTGGCCCTAAACCTTTTTAAATTCAAGGCCCCTATTGTCAAAGCTAATATTTAAAGGGCCAAAATGGATCTGGTACTTCTGCTTTAATGACAAAGCTACTCATTTTAACACTTTTCACAAAATGTATTAAAATAATAAAATAATGGTTAATATTTAAAACAAATGACATAATTCCAGAAGTTTCAATAAAAAGTAGAGCATGTCTAGCAATTCCAAGGTCATGGGTTTGATTAGCAAGAAATGCATAATTGGATTAAAAACAATATACTTTGAATGCAAAGTAAGTCGCATTGGAAAATAGCGGCTGCCAAATGCATAAATGTTATTTTTTATGACCAATTAATTTAAATAGCTTTTCTAGTCTTTCATGGTTGTGGGTTTATATGTGTGTGTGTGTGTGTGTGTGCGTGTA